ATATGCCCGCAACCAAGGTACATGCCCTTGACTGGAATTGAACCCAGGACCTTTCAGTCCCTAAGCCGACGCTCTATCCATTGAGCCAAACCGATTTCGGTGTGTCTGCCCAGTTTAACCATGTGAAGAATCTCTACCAATTATGTTGCCATATTAAACCCCTCTCTCTCTTTGAAATAGCCCCAAATTTTTGCACCAACGTTTTCTCTTTGATAAGGAAGGCAACTTCCTTTCATAAGTATGGCTGTCCTTAATACCTAGGGTAGTGACCTAACTGGCACCAAAAGAATCACAAAATAGCATACCTCATTTAAAACAGTTTTCTCATGGTTGTCTTGTTCCCCCATTCAGGAAAAAGATTATTGGTTACTATGGCAATCAGCTTCTACAGCATTCTATTGTAAGTAACTACACAGGTGTAAAAACAGCTTTTTACTCCACATTCATTACTGTAGCTCTCTGCAGATCTGCATATTTCCTCAGCCTGTTCTCTGTAATTGTTGTTTAGAACAACCAACCAACCAAACACACAACCTGCAGTCAAACCAGATACTTTTCTCAAAGGCAGAATATCTCCATCTTTTCTGAACATTTAACATTTTACATATATAGTATAACGATTTTCTCACAGCACCAATTTAAACTTTCTGATATGCTCTTTCATAAATCTGGGATTATATCTGTATCTGTTTAACCATTTTTAGAAAACAAATAATGAACTGACAGCCAAAATCAGAGCAGGAGACAGTTCTATAAGATTATTTCCCATCCTCTAATATCATCTTTCTTTAGAATGATTCTTTGACTTCCCTCCCTCCATCATAACTCATCCCACTGGTAAAATAGTGCAGACACATCAAAGTGTAAAAATTGTCCTCAAGTCATTGCCTTGGAAATGCCAAACACTTATACTCCCACCCTGGAGATTATTAACTAATCTATTTCTGTTCGAAACATTATTGATAATAGTAAAAGATGGTTTTGAACAGGCCAAACACGTCTTACTGGCACCAAATATCTGCTATATTGTAGAGGAGGTGGGCTGACTCTGGAGAATCAACTGGATAAATTCTGTTTCCCTACAACTCTTTCATTCTTTTCTTATTACTTTTAGGTTTTGCTGGTTACACTTAGTTCCTTCATAACAAGGTGGCATAAACTAGGAATCCTGAGATTTCTATTGTATGCCGAGATAACTTTTATTTCTACCTAAGACTTTATTTGAAAATAGTTGTATTTTGGTCCTTAAAAAGAGGGAATTTGAAAGGGAGTTGCTATTATCTAAGACAAGCAATTAAAATGAAATCTAGCTTTAACTCTCTTTCCTGCAAAGTTTTTCTGTCTCCTAGATGTCTTTTCATTGAGAAAGATGTATCTCATGACCAGTCTATGAACACCCATGACTATTACCATCTCCTATTAAGGGCATGGAAGTAAACTCTGTAACTAAAACAGATGCCTCCTCCACCCACAGATTCTAAAATCAGGGTATTCAGAAGCCTCTCCATAAATTTTTGGAGTGTACTGGGAAACAGGAACTGTTAAAAATCTGAAAGTCTACCAAAGTACTTTCTGCCTCTTCCAGTAAAAAATAAAATAAAATAAAATAAATTATATACATATGTGAAGCTCATTATTTTAAAACACATGCAAAGTAATCAGGTTAGAAATTCATGGCTAGCACTTGGGTTACATCAGGAGAAAAGATAATAACTTTGTGTTGGAAAACCATAGAATGGTTCTCTGACTTCTCTTAAAATTGCATTATAATTGTTTCAAGAGGGATGGGGAGAAAAGGGCATTTACTTGATTATTTTATATCTGAGCAGATATTCCATGAAATATCAAACATCTTGCTTATTCCTTTGGGCACATGAGCATATAGACTCCCAGATATACTACACAAGCTGAGGGGAGAGGGGGAGAGAACAAGTACTGGCAGAATTTTATAAATTAAAAGCAGAAGCTGAAGTTAAATAATCACATAAACTTTGAGTAATTTTATCACAATGTACCATTAGATTTATATAGGAAAAATGTTTCTCTGTTTTCAGCTGACAAAAGAGCAGTTGAGAAGCGACCTTGTAGCTTTGAAAAGTACAAACACTAAGGAAGGGTCAGCATTCTAAAGGCTGGGAGGCAGTTGATTGGCTGTTTTGACATTTGGGTAAAGATGAGGGGGACTAAGATTATAACCCAAAGAAGTCATGATAAAAGAGTAGAATGAAGTGTCTAATAATGATAAAGTGAGCTGGGACAGAAAGAGCAGGAAAGAGAAAAGTCATTTAGTTCAAATAGGAAATAATAATTTGTAGAGAAATTTTAGTAACTAACTTAATTTGTATTTCAATTTGCAATAGCCCACAGATAACAATATTTGAAGACTGACAGTCTTATTGCTTTATAAATAAACATATATATATTTAAAATATTTTTATTGATTTCTGAGAGAAAGGGAGAGGGAGAGACAGAAACATCAATGATGAGAATCATTGATTGGCTGCCTCCTGCACACCCCCTGCTGGGGATCAGCCCACAACCCAGGCATATGCCCCGATTGGATTAGAAACCAGGACCCTCCAGTCCACAGGCTGACATTTTGTCCACTGAGCCAAATCTGCTAGGGCTATAAATATATTTTTAATGATTTCAGAGAGGAAGGGAGAGATAGAAACATCAATGGTGAGAGAGAATTATTGATCAGCTGCCTCCTGCATGCCCCCCACTAAGGATTGAACCCACAATCCGGGCATGTGCCCCGGAATCCTGGTTCAATAGGTCAACACTCAACCATTGAGCAACGCTGGCCAGGCAGTTTTAATATTTTATACATATGTGAGAAACTCCATTTATTTGAAAGATAAATTAGTACAAGTTTCTATTAATATGATAGTTGTCAGTCAGGGTGTTGTTTTTTTATTAACCTATTATAACCCTAAAAATACTTTTAATATTTCAAATGGAAAGCAATTGAAATATTAAATTGCTTGATTTTATAATGTAAGGATAACCAGAAAGCCTGATTTAGTTACAAATTGGTCCTATTTTGGCTGGTGTCCTTCAGTGATGGGCTCCTAAATTGACTAAGAAAATTTAAATACAGAAAGCTGTAAAACCAATATTCCTTAATTAGAAATTATGCTAGCAATTTAACATTAAAAACATTTTTTAAAAAGCTACACATAGTATAAATTCTGCAGAGTTTTAGCTTCTTTTATTTAGACTGCATTGATATCCATTTATAGCTCTCCTAACAATCACTTTATAGGCTGGCAATCCTATGTCCTGGATTTTCCAGGTCACTTCAGATTTCAAGTATTTTGTCTATTGTCAAATGATATGCCTAGACTTTGGTTTGGAAAATGTGGTCACTGAATTTATACACTAACTGAAATAGCAATGGCCTTTGGCATTATCTAGTAATTCTATTTCTGGGTTATGACTATCACATTAAATCAAATCAAAGTTCATTATTTAAGTCTATCTAATAAACTATCAAAATAATAAGGATATTTTATAACTTTCAGTAATTTGCCATTTTAAAAGCATTCATAATATGATTTATTATGCACATACACAGCTAGCAAACCTAAAAATGACTATTCCCTTTGCCATACAGGAAATGAAAAACGACATATTTAAGAGGTTATGTTATCACATGGCCCAAACCAAGAAAGACAAACATAATCCAAATGTGCTTGTGTTAATTTTTTTAAAAGGGAGATTTGATAGTCTTTCTTATTTTTAATTCCATAGACTGGAACTCATATTCTTGATAAAGCAGAATTGAGAGGATATACTGGCATTTGCTGTCGATGACGGTAATTACCTAAGATTGAGTCGTTATCCTGTGCCAAAACTTTGCTGTTCTGCAAATAAAAACTCTCAGATTATTTGATGGCCTTCTTCCCTGTTAATTACTATCCTTTATTGCATTATAACATTTGTTTATGGCTCCGCTCTTTATTCATTTGTGATTCAGATAACCACTGGGGGGGGGGGGGGGTGTTTAAGTCTCCTATGTCCAGAATAGCACTGCCTCTTGAAAATGAAGGTGATTTTTAACTAAGTCTTGTTAGAAATCATCTATCACTAATGATCAGGCTTTCCTCCCACATATCCGTGCTAGTTGGGACTCGAGAAGCCCGGGGATCCGGCTGCGATAAGAGGCGCGAGTGGGAGACAAGCTAGCACCCGCCTGACACCTCGGCGCCGCAGCCAGGAATGAGTCACTGGCTTTTGGCACCTGTGCGCCCAAGGCAATCTCTGCCTCCTCCTCCTCCTCCTCCCGGCTCCTCGCGGGCTGTCTCCTGCGCTTTGGCCTTTAAGGAGAAGCGAGAACAGGTGGGCACAGAGAGAGGAGCTGGTGGAAGCCGCCTCCCCTGCGCCTTCCCTAATTTAGCAGTACTTCCGGCCGCGTGACATCATCCCCCGCACCCCGGTGACGTAAGCGGCGGGTGACGTGCGTGCGGCGCGGAGCGCGCTGACGTTGCTATTTAAAGGTCCTCCTGCGGGGAGGATGGAGACAGGGCGCGAGCACCCGGCGTGGCGTGCCGAGGAGGGGGCCGTGGCAGCCGGCAGCGGGGCCAGGAGCCGGAGCCGGAGCCGGAGCCGGAGCGGGGCGCACGGCCAGCCAGCCGCCGCCGGCCACTAGGGGAGGGCGGGGGAGAGGAAGGACGGACGGACTGACGGACTCGCTGACCCGACCAGCTCCCCACACGCGGGCCGGCTCGGTGCCGCCAGCCTCCCCGCCGCCCTCGCGGCTGCAGCCTCCTCCCCGCCGGGCCCTCGGGACGTGTCAGCGCCCCAACCCCGGCGCCCTCCGCCGCGGCAGCCGCCTGCCTCCCGCCCGCCCCCCGCGAGCAGGGGGAGGGCCCGCGCCGGCCCTAGTGCTCCCCGCCCCGCTGCCCGCTGCCCCCGCCGCCGCAGCCCGCTCTGCCGCCGCGCGGGGCGCTGACCTGGGCAGGGGCGCCCTCCGCTCGGCGAGCGGCCGGTGAAGGCGGCGGCGGCGCAGGGCCGCCCGGGTCGGCGCTGCCTGCGGCGCGGGCGCTGGAGGCCGGCGGTGCGGGGAGTGCGAGGAAGCGGCGGCGGCCCGGAGCGTGAGAGGCTGGGAGCCGGGGAGGGGGCGCTGGAGCCGCGGCTCTCCGGTGGCCCCGAGCCCCGCTCCCCGCCCCCGACGCGGGATTAGCCGCCCGCCTGCCCTCGGGCGGGCTCCCGGGGACCCTTCTGCTCCCGCCACCCGCGCTCGGCCCGCCCCGGAGCCGGGAGCCGGGAGCCGGGTGCCCGGGCGGCGTGGGGCTAAGGCTCTCTCTGATTCATTCATTCTCCGCCGCCGGGAGCCGCGGACCCGCTGTGCGCGGCGGAGGAGGAAGGGAGAGGGGCGGCCGCGGATGAAGGGCCGGGCGGGAGCCGGGCTCCATTGTGCTCGGCGGCGGGGGGCGGGAAGGGGCTGAGGGAGGTGGGATCGGGGCCCCCATCCCCCTGCTCTCCTGCACGCGCTGCGCCCCCAGCCTGCTGCCAGCCTGGAAATGGCTCCGTGTATTCTCGGGAGGATGCATCGATCCTGCCCAGCCTTCTCTGCCTCCTCCCCACCTCTCCTCGGCTCCGAGTCTTAGGAGGAAGGAGGGAAAAAAAAAAAACAACACAATTTAAAAGACAGATTTCCAATGTGGAGTGTTGTGCACGTCGCGAGCTGCCGGGTTTGCACTCGGAGGAGATTTTTTTCTATGTAGGCCCCCCCCCCCCTTTTTTTTTTCTAATGTGAGTGCAGGGAAGCCGCGGCATTACTGCTTTTAGGATTTTTATTTTCTCGTAGGGCTCTCTCTATAAAAGTGCACGTCGCATTGGGTTGCACGCTCCACCCCCAGGGACCCGGTGTGGTGGTGGAGAAATTTGAACCCGCAGCCTTAGTAGCGCCGAAAAGACCAGGTTACCTGCCTCTCCCGAGAGTGGAGGAAGAAGACCTGAACGGAATGACCACCCAAGTCATTTTTCGTAGGACTCTGTGAAGCTGGATTCCGCGTTTTTTCCAACACGTAGACTCATTTTTTTTTTTTTTTTGTGGAATTAAGAGTTAACCGCTGTCTCCTCCGCGCAGCATTTTAACGCTAATAAGCAAATGCCACCTCGGTGCGAACGTTTTGGTATTTCTGAGAGAGAATTCATTTTATACAAGCGAACTCACTGAATTGTCAGCATTACTGAAATACCTCCAGAAAAGGACCTTCGGGGGCTGGAAACGCAACTGCGAAATAGCAGACGGAGACATTCCTCTGGAAGTTATTCCGTAGCCTAAGAGCAGAAACTTCGGAGCAAGTTTTCATTGGGCAAAATGGGGTAAGGATTGTGTGTGTGTGTGTGTGTGTGTGTGTGTGTGTGTGTGTGTGTTTAACACAGCTTTGAACCTGTGTGTGTGTGTGTGTGTGTGTGTGTGTGTGTGTGTGTGTGTGATTGAGCTGTGGTGGCGACTGTGTTTCATGTTTTCAAACAAATTTACCACCTTGCTAAACCGGCCATGCTTTAAAAATGTAGGTATGTGAACCTTTCAACAAGATTTATTTGTTTGTACAGTGACACCTGAGGTCACGATTAAGAAATATTTAAGAAGACAACCATACACGGCACTTGACTGGTCAAACTGCCACATCAGTTTGTAATCAAAATCATGTCTTGGGTTTTGTTGCCCTTATCTTTCAGAGAAGTACGGTACTGCATTCTCTCAGTACTTTGAGAATAATCAGTTGCACAAAGAAACAATTGTAACGAGTGGTTAGAACTACAGTCCTTGAAAATGATCCAGTGTGAATTGTTACCCACACTGTGCCCTCTGCTTCGCCCTTGAGTATCCAAAGTTAAAAATGTACAGAATTGATTTGTTGGGGCATTGGCATGAAAATCCGAAAGCCTTATTGCTGTGGTCTCCACGGTGCCAATGCACTTGGTAAGAGATCAGAGCTTGAATAGAAAAGAGCTTTTTATTGAAGGGACTTGTTCATTTCTTCTGCTGTTTGCTTTTAAGCTCAGGTCTTCAGTTGTTGACAATGTCAGATCACCTTCTTTCAGATCCAAAGTCAACCAAGAGTGCATTTCCCAACCTTTCATTAACTCTTCATGCAGTAAATTGATGAAATGCTAGTGACTTCCTAATTTAAACCAGAAACCCATTATATGTTAATGGAATAATGATCTAAGCATTTCATTCACAGATTGTTGATGCTGTTTGTCAAAGAGAAACTTCTAGAATTTTCTCCCTCTTTTTGTTTTTTTTCTGTGGTGGTTGAACAAACATCAAAATGTACTTGGGGGACAGCAATCTAAAGGTTATACTTTGAAATTCATTGCGACATTTTAGGGATGTCCACACCTTAACTTTCTTGAAACTTTTGGAGGAAAGTTCTTAGATACTACCTTTTTTGTTGGAGTTATAATTTGAAGTGTATTAAATTGAACAAATTTGAAAATGTAGAACATATATTGTAGGAGTCCTTCGTCAGGAATTAATGAGAAAGAGGGATAATTTTAACATTTAAATGACAGTGGATGAGAACATATTTAACTTGCATGATTTAGAGCAATTAAAATACCTCATTCTATTTCGAGTGCTTTGTGATCTGAGGCAAATTACTTAACCTGTATGAACTGTTCTCTTATCTATAAAATGAAGAACTTCGATGAGTTTAAAAAATTTTTTTAGTCTATAAAAATGAATTTTTTCTCCTTTCTGTTTTGATGATTACTAGTTGGTTTCTTAAAGTAAATCTTTCAGATGGAGAGATTGTTTTCTCTAAGCAATTTTTAAGTATGTAAATAATGACAGTTGAAAATTTTTTTTGATGAATTGTACCAATTTTAGTAAGAGAAAATACTGAAAAATACTACTTGAAACCTTGGAAATATGGCTTCTCTTTAAATTATACACTCTTCTGTGTAAAACATGTTAGAGGGGAAAAAAATAATCAAGTAGCTTTTTTCCATGGTGAAGGCTGCATTCTCTCTGGAATAGATGGTGGAGCAGGAGCATCATGGGAGAAAATGGTTTAACCTGCATCAGGGCTCTACATTTTACCAAGGGAAGCTTGGTATGAACTTAATGCTAAGGGGACTAGTGTTTAATATGTGAACATAAGCCCCCACACATAGCACACACTTTAGATACTTCGGTGTAATTAAATTTGTTTATGAACTTACTTATTTGTCCTTAATAGTCTTAAAGGTAGACTGGAGAGGAAAAGGAATATTTATGTCGTTATTTTTCTGAACGTCTATATTTGGGTTTATTACTCTTTCTGACTAATACACTTAAGCAGAGTTGTCAGGAGAAGATGGATAATTGAAAGTAGAAGAACATACAGAGAAGGCATTTGTAGACGTTTCTATACTTTCTGTACCTAATAGGTGTAGAATAAGCAGCCTTCAGCACTTACTTAAAGCACAAGGAAACAGAACTTAACATGGCTCTGTAAGTTTTACCCAGGCAATCCTGAATTACCTTCCTCTGACAGGTATCTAGAACTTAATACAGTGGGTAAAGTTTCACATTTTATGAATATATTTTTGACTGTTAGGTTATAATAATAATTCATCTTTGCCTTAATTATGGATAAAATTGCAAGTCTGGGGCAAACTTCAAGCAAAAGGAATTATTTTTAAAGAAAATGACTAGTTTAGGCAGAAACAAACGTGGCTCATGTAGTAGTAGTTTGTGAACTATGGTGGAAACAGAAAAGAACAGCTGAAACTGACAGTTGGCAGAGTCTGTCAAAGTGTCTTGGATGCTGCTGCCTGCCCTGTTTTTAATTACACTGAAGGCCATTGAAGCAGTGGCTTTGAAATAGGTGTACCAGACCCCTGAGAATTACAGCATTCATGTATGTAAGATAAAGCCTACAAAAAGCTTCAAAGCCTGCGTGAGGAGCCCCTGTGAGGTACGACCCCGGTCTCCCAAGTAGTCTCTCATCATGAGAGCAGTGAGTCAGTAGCTATTTCAGAACTATTACAGTAGGTAACAGGCACCAAGTAACTTCAGTGAGTTACTTCATGCTACCTTTTGTTTTGCTTAGATCATATTGGCGATTTAGTGCCATCAATATGGGAATAGAGAATCCTCCCTCTTCCTACTCTCCACTAAGAGTTATTTATAAAATGAGATTCTCCCCGTGGTCCGATAATGCTTTTTCTGATTTATCTCGCCTGCCCGTGAGAACGTCTGCAAACCCTCTTGTCCGCCTTTCCCTAGATAACCTCCTGAAGCATGGAAGTGGGTGCTGCTGCACTGCAACCTGAACTGAGTTCCTTTGCTGAGCGAGGAAGCTGACACCTCCTCCTCGTTGCGCCCGAGGCTACTGGGTGCTGCTCTTTGGGAGCTATTGTAGCAGAAATGAGGAAATCTTGATCCAGCACTGCGATATGAACAGGCGTTGTTGCAAAGGCAATCGTTCCTAACATTAGAGAAGTTAGATGCGAGTCCCTAATGTTTTATTTGTTCATTTTGCCAATTTTGAAGCCCTATCATATGGCATGTACAGCAGCTCAGTGCTGCTGGATACAGAGACTATCTTAAAAGGTATTCCTTCCCTCAGGGAGTTTATAGTTTAGAAGTTGGGAAGACAGTCAAGTCTAAAAAGATCAGTGAAATGTCCAAGGGGCTATCATGTAGGTTATAATTCCTCATAAAGGTACAACGTGTGTGTGTGTCATTAGCTGCCATGGGAGAGATGAAGTGTTGGTGGAGGAGGTAACATGTATTAATGAATGAAAAATGAGTGCAGGGGGCCTCATAGACAAATGAGAGGGCATTCAAGGCAGAGGGAATAGTGTGATGGACTGAACGAAGACACGGTGCTACAAAAGTTTGGCAAGATGAACTTGGCTTTTGTAGGGTGTAGCAAGAGCTAGACCTAGAGCCTTATGCGGGGGCCAGGTTAGAGGGCCTTCTAGGCCAAACAGAAGTAGGTATTTTTCAAGCTTTTTGGGGCGGTGGTCCATTATAGTAAGGTACACAGTTTTATCTCAAAATCTAGTGCACACATATAGAAATGGTAAAATGCAGTGAAATAATACACTTTGTGTGATGCATTCTGGTATTTTTTATTCTATTTTTGAGGGGGGGAAATGACAGAAAAATAATTGATGGTAGCAATGGGTAATTTGAAAATCATTGCTCTTGGCTGTTGGAACTCCACTAAAGAGTTTTAGAGTAGTTCCATGAAGGGTCAGGGAAACAGGGTGAGAAAAGTTTAAAAAAGCATTTAGAATTTGGTTTTAAATGTCGTGTCCTGTGGAAAGATCAAGCCAGAGCAATGAACCTGGCTAGGAAGGGGAAGCAGATAGCTGGGCAGGCCCTGGAAAATTCCACGGTGGAGGGAAGGAAGGGTGGTGATGAGTTGTGTGTGGTTGTCTGCACAGTACTTTTTAAGGATGTGGGCATTTATTGTTCAGAGGTAAAAATGTAGGACATGGCGTGGTATGTTCCTCGCAGAGCTGCTTACTCAGATGGACTATGAGACAGTGAATTTGGGACTTTAAAGACTTATAAGTCCTTTAAAAGGGACTTTCTAGCTCACCATACCAACCACATGGAAAGTAAGAGTGAGGATATTTAAAAAATTTTGCCAAGCAAGTAATTAAAGGGTACTTGGAGATGCTAGTAAGATTTGCCTCATAAGCTGAACTGTTACTTGTCCTGTGACTAACACCCTATATAATAAAACCTGAATATGCAAATTGACTGAACGGCAGAGCAACCAGTCACTATGAAGTGCACTTACCACCAGGGGGTAGACCCCTGCTGGCTTAGGCCTGCTCCCCACATCCCGGACTGTGAGAAGGTGCAGGCGGGGCTGAGGACCCCCCCCCCCCCCGCCCCCCCCCCGCCTCCCAGTGCACAAATGTCATGCACTGAGCCTCTAGTAGAATTATAATTTTATATCTATCAGCATATATCAGGAAGATACTAACCATAAGAAGAGTAGAAGAGTTTGCATATTTTGAGAATAAGCCCCTCATTTTATTGAAATATGATTGATATAGCATAGTATTACCTTAAGGTACACAATAGTAATGATTTGACACATGTATATATTGTGAAGTAATTACCATAGTAGGTCTAATTAACATTTTTGTGTGATGAGAACTTTCATGAGAATTGGTTTATTTTTTTAATATGTTAATGAATAATTGAGTCCACCCCACTCAATGAAATTTTGAAATAACTCTTTTTTGTTTTGTTTTTAGGTGTGTTTTTTTGTTTGTTTTTTGTTTTTTGAGGTAACATGTGGACAAGGTGACCTTTGCTCTTTGCAAATGTTCTTTCCCCCCAATCTGCAATCTATTTGTGT